GGCAGTTTTATCAGTTTTCAGTCGACTGACTTCCTTGTTGGCGATCCCAAGAGCAGTTTTCAGATTGGTATTGTCTTGTTCAAGCTTGGTGACTGAAGCTAACTTCTCGTCAGCAAGCTTGATCTTCTCAGCTAGTTCAAGGTCTTTTTTCTGTTGGGCCTCCCTTACCTTACCTGCAAGTTACAGCAAGATCAGATTTTGAAACAAAAGAAGGGAAAAATCAGTCGTCAAGGTCTCACCAAACATACCTTCGGTCTCCTCCTTTGCCTTTGTCAGTTTCTCCTGAACCAGCTTCAAATTCAGCTCGAGCTGAACGTGCTTGTTTTCCAGCTCAGAGTAGCGAGCCACAAGATCACAGAAGTTCTGCGAAGAACCAATCGACTAAATGTCAAATATAATTCACTTCCGAGTGAAAAAGGAAAAATCACACGTTTCTAAGACTACAGCCGAATACAAGCATTCGACCGTAGTCTCGGGGACTACACCCAGTGGGTGCACTCAGCATGCCCCCACTAATTCTATCGAAGATAGAGTCGACCAGTCGACCTCAAAAAAAAAGAAGAAGAAAGGAGAGATGTATTCTTTAAGACTGTAATCGACTGCCAGCAGTCGACCACAGTCTCGGGGACTACACCCAGTGGGTGCACTCAGCGTGCCCCCACCGGTTTGCGAAATCCATTCGACATAGTCGAATGACGGAAAGACTGAAATTATAAAACCTAAAGCCGACTGCCAGCAGTCGACCTTAGCCTTGGAGACTACACCCAGTGGGTGCACTCAGCGTGCCCCCACTAATCCTATTGAAGACAGAGTCGACCAGTCGACCAGTTTGCGAAATCCAGTCGACATAGTCGAATGACGCAAAGACTGAAATTATAAAGCCTAAGGCCGACTGCCAGCAGTCGACCTTAGCCTCGGGGACTACACCCAGCGGGTGCACTCAGCGTGCCCCCGCTAACACGGAGTCTAAGTCGACACACCCAGTGGGTGACTACCGTAGATGTTGGAAAGAAAAGTTTTTGATAGCATATCCTAACAGAACAGACGATGGTCGACTGACCTGAACATTGCTTTGAAGGGCAGAACTGGCGTCGTAAGCTGCCTGGCTCGCATCCCGGATGGTCCTCAACTGCTCCATCATGATCCCTGCCTGGCGTATCGCCTCCTTCGCGGCGCCAGCTTGGTCCTCTGGGACGTGGTGCGTCGTGAAGAGGGAGGGCTGCTGAGCACTCGTCAGTGGATCTGCGAAGGACACAGTGTGTCGAGTGGTGTTCTCCTCCTCCGCAACCAGAGTCTCAGGCGACGTCACATCCTGGGCCACCCTGCTGGCAGACGTTTTCCTACTCCTTCTGTGCTTCATCGGTTCCTCATCTTCATCATCATCTGGGAGAGTGATAACAACATTGGGTGGAGCTACAGAGAAGAATCAGGATTATAGGTCATAAGTCAGTCGACTAAAAACGGCGTTAAGAGTATAGTACCTGGCTTTGAGGTTGTTGCGTCCTCCATCTCATGGTCATCAGCCCGGGCTGAGGTCTCGGAAGTAGCAGCACTGCAACTCCAAAGAATCAGTCGACTAATCCCAGCGCCAGCCAGAGATAAAGTTCGTACAAAATAAGAAGACTTAAGCAGTACGATTACCCTGATATGGTGGGGATGGACACCTTCATCTTCGGCAGGAGCTTGGTCGGCTTTGACGGAGCCGCCCTGGGCTGCTTCGACGCCTTTTCAGTCGGCGCCGGAGAGGTGGTCCGAGGGCGCTTGGTCGACTGTGCAACGGTCGCAACCCCTTTGCCACGTTCAGTCGCAGGGTCGTGGACAAGCTTCGACCGCCTTTCTGAGCGCGGTGGTACGACCTCCTCCTCCTCTTCTTCCTCGTCTTCAGCATCATCTTCATCACCGTCATCGTCGTCATTGTCATCATCATCCTCAGCAACGTCCGAGTCCCACTCCTCCTCCTGGCTCTCGCCCCCACTCGCCTCACCCTCCTCAGTCGGAGCCTGTGCTCCATTGGGCATCGAGTACAGCTCGGTGAGGGCCTGATAGACATCAAGACAAAAATCAATCGACCGATTGGCAGAATAAACATAAATGAATATGACAAGAACACAGTGGAGAGCAGAGCAGGCATACTTTGTTTGGATCACTGTGGTGGTCGAGTGGAGGAATCCTTCTGGCTCCGTGTGGGTTATCCTTGTTTCCGGTAACGAAGGCCATCCACCTTTCCAGAGTGACATCATCGACTGCTTCTGGATGGACCCGAGTCTCGTCCTCAGTCCCACAGTACAACCACATGCAGTGGCTCCGAAACTGAAGGGGCTGGATACGACGCCTAAGGAAAACCTCCAGGAGATCCATGCCCGTCACTCCCTCCCGAACCAACTGTACTACGCGCTCCATCAACATCTTCACGTCAGCTTTCTCCTCCGGAATCAACTTCAGAGAGGAGGGCTTGTTCACTCGGTCCATGGTAAACTGAGGGAGTCACTCGACTGCCCCGGCGTCGACTGATCCTGGCAGTAGAACCAGGTCGACTGCCAGCCTCTGACTGACTCGGGAAAAGTCATGGCTGGGAAGGTGCTCTTATTCCTCACCTGGATCCCCAGGCACCCACACATTTGGACAACTCGGGTCCTTTCGTCGCCTGGGCTCCCTTCTTCATGGTCTAAGAGCGACACGTGAATATATGCTTGAACAAGCCCCAGTACGGTCGACAGCCCAGAAAACCCTCACACATGGACACGAACACGGCAAGATAGGCGATAGAATTTGGGGTAAAATGATGGAGTTGCGCTCCAAAGAAGTTCAAGAACCCACGAAAGAAAATACTCGGCGGCAAAGAAAATCCACGGTCGACATGGGTAGCCAGGAGCGCGCACTCACCCTCTTCTGGCTGGGGCTGCCACTCCTTCCCCGGTAGCCTCGCAGCTCCATGAGGGATCAGACCCTCGTTGTCCATGTCGAGGAGATCTTTCTCCGTGATGGTCGACTGGATCCAATCTCCTTGGACCCAGCCCTTCGGCAGGCGGGATCTAGACGAAGACCCGCCGCGGCTGGTGGATCTCCCCTTCGCCTTCTCCGTCGCCGACGCCTTCTTCGCGCGTTCCAGCGCCGCCGTCTTCTCCTTGGCCATGGTTGCCGGTGAGACGCGCGAGGAGAAGTTGTGCGGAGGCGAGAGCGAGCGCGCTGGACGGAGACGAAGGGAGCAGAGAAAGAGAATGCTGAGGCACTGTACAAAAAACCCTCGCCGGGCGTATTTATAAGGTCCCTTCCGAGTGGATGACAGGTGGGCCCGGTCGATCTAATCATATCCAGGAACAGTTATGCAGGCGGGATACGTGGCGAAGAAAGCGGCGCGGGGATCGAGGCGTCTATGTCCCGTCCCATCCGAACGCCGCGGTCCGCTCCGCTTCGCGCGCTTCCCCAAATTTCGCATCCCGCGGAATCCGCGAACGGCAGATCGGTCTGTCAGACGCGGGATTTCCTGCGATCCGTCGCTCGGAAATCGTCGAAGCCCGAAAGATCACTCGACGAAAGAAGAGAATGGATCGAGTCGACTGAAGACAAGTTGCTCACTACCAACGAAGAGATTCTTTGGTCCAGAACAACGCACGACCAGTGTGCAAAAGCTAATCGGAAACAACATCAACTCCTTCCTCACTCGAAGCCTCAATCCATTCGGGGGCTAATGATGGGGTCATGTACCTAGGGTAGGGCCACAGACCTGATCTAAGTACCCTGCCCAAGGACACCCTTAGAAGAGGTCACCTTCCAGTCGACTGACGAGAGACACACTCGACTGCCTTGAAGGACTCGACCACGAAGACTCACTCGACCACCAGAAGGTCAAAGAGGCATTCTGCACTGCAACGGCCTGTAATTAAGTAGACTTTATGATAGTAAAGACACTTTATGTGGGGCGTTACCAGTAACACCCCGGACTTAAATCACCTTAAACCCTCTCCTACGTGGGCTGACTGGGGTCCTGGCGCACTCTATATAAGCCACCCCCCTCCACAGGTAGAGGGGTTCGGCACCCTGTAACTCTTATACATATAATCCACCCGACCGCCTCCGGGCTCCGAGACGTAGGGCTTTTACTTCCTCCGAGAAGGGCCTGAACTCGTACATCTCTTGCGTTTACAACCTCTCCATAGCTAGGACCTTGCCTCTCCATACCTACCCTCACTCTACTGTCAGGCTTAGAACCACGACACCACATTCTCCCTGCACCAAAATAAATATATAAGTAATTCCAGTGTAAGCCTAACTTGCTATAGATCTAGATGTCAGCAAAGGAATTCCAGTGTAAGCCTAACTTACTTGTTGGTTTCTGCCATTATCTCTTAATTTGAAGACATGAACTCAATAATTACTGCAGGAATCATGAACAAATACAAGTAAGAAAATTTCCAATTTGTGAAGAAAATACAAGACAAAGAGGGGAGATTTGTGGTTGCTACCTGTAATCTGGAAGGAGGAGGAGGAGGAACGATGGCTGGAATCGATCGCCAAAAGTTTTCCTCGATCAGCCAGCTGATTTCCTTGGAGTTGCCGCAGCGATCGCCTAAAGCTGAGACAGCGCGCGACAGAGCAGCGCAGCACACGTTTCCCCGCCAAAATCCTCTCGTGCTCCCGCCTGAAGTTTTGTTTTCCCTCCACTGTGTTGAAGTAGGCCTTTAGGTGGGCTATGAAATCTGGGCTGGGCTGCTTATTTTAGGCTGAGTGAGGGATCGAAAGAAGCAGCCGACCGATCGAGAACGAGCGGCATCTGGCGTGCGCTGGGCTGCCTCTGACTTGCTATAAGCAAGTTAGAGAATCTGAGCCGCGGAACAGGAGCCGGAACCCCCGGTCCTTTTCTACTCCCCTCCTCCCCCCCTTCCAGAACCCGCCTCCCTCTGACCTCTCCCCCCTCCCTCCCACCGCTCGCACGATCGACCACGGACGCACCGCGCATCGCATTCCTCCGCAGAGTCAACCCCGGCGGGCAGCGGCCAAGCATGGAGGCCGCGGCGGCCACGGGGGTCCGCCCCTTCGCCGCGCCGCTCGGGCCCGCGAGGGGGGCGGGCGCGGGCGCAGGCTGGCGGTGCGGGCAGGGCCGGCGGCGGCTTGGGCGGGGCGCGCGGGTGGCGGCGAGGCTGGACGGGGGCGTGGGGAAGGGGGTGCCCACCACCAACTACGTCGTGCCGCTCGACAAGCCCACCGGGATGACCCGCCCGCTCGTCGAGATCCTCAGGGACCTCAACAAGCGCGTCCCCGACAAGATCATCGACCCCGACACCAACACCGTCCCATGGTACGACGCTCAGCGCAACCGCCCAACTCTTTTAACTCCCCCGACACGACGACACCCACCCACCCGCCGTCTCCTCTCCCCGCTCGATTTGATCTGCTCCGCCGCGTGCTAGCTGCGTGCGTGCTACTGCTGCTGTTCGCCGTCGGCCATCACGGTCAGTCGGTAGATGCTGGTTCCCTTCCAGAGACTCCAGAGATTCGTGGGAATTTAGTGGGCGCAAGGCTTTCATAGGATTGGTTCCTGCAGCTTGTTGCCAGTTCATGGCCGCAGCTACTGCCTCTTCTCTCTCTAATTGTTTACCCTCTGAATTCGGGTGGTGGGATTGGACAAATTGAAACGGTCCGGACAAACGCATTTGGTGGTGGCATAGCTTTTCTACTGCAGGATTAATACCTTGGTAGCTCATCCAAGTTCCACCTCGCACAGTAGTTCAGTTCACTCCTTCTCTAGTCGTTCTTGCATAGTAGGTTCACTGTTGTCCTCGAAAAAAACCAAGTATCCAACTAGGAGCTGCTAGATTTGACAGACGAGCAAATGAAGATAGGATGGCTGTGAAGAAGACCTGACCTGCTTTGCATGATTTCATCTGTCTGAATCCATAACTTTCTCTTGGCCAATAAAATAAGTTTGCTAGATTGACCATACTTGTGATTAGATAGTTTAATGTTCTGCAACTTTAGGCTGTTGCTTGCTTTGTTGGTAGGTCCGAAACATCCGATAGACTGTAAGGTTACTTGAGCCACTTTTCTTCTGTTCCACTTTCAGGGTTTGGTAGATAAGGTTATTTAAAAGTCAGTGGTCAATTATTTGGTGTTGTTGATCAAGTGATGCGTCTTAGACAAGGACAGGTTGGACACTCCTGTTAATCTATCTAACTAAATAAAAGGCGGAAGAGTTCTGGTACTTTGGACTTTGTAAGAGGATAACAGCAGCAGTTATGTGTATGCTGTCATGTCATCTTTTCTTAACACCGTCGATATTGCTTTTAAAATGGAGCGTGGCCCTCTGGTTTTAAATCTAAAAACTATTGTATATTTTTCGGATAAAACACTCAAGGTTACATATACAGCCCTTTTAGCGGAAGAGCTCTGGTACTTTGGACTTTGTATAAGAGGATAACAGCTGCAGTTATGTGTTCGCTGCATATCGTCTTATTCTAACACCACCGTGCCTATGTTGCTTTTAAAATGGAGCGTGGGCCTCTGGTTTTAAATCTACAAAATATTGTATATTTTTCGATAAAACAATGAAGTTTACATAGTTTTTTAGCTGGAACATTATACGGTTACTAATCATTTCGTGACTGTTAAATTTGGCCGCTGTCAGCTGACTTACATCATTTTGGTCTCCTTTTCTGTAAAGAGAAAATAATACAGTGGTGTCTGTATGCTTTTTATGCCAAATCAAATAAATCACCATGATATTAGCCTATCTTAGCCAGTGGAGAAACTATTCTGAGGTTAAATAATAGGAGAGTAGAGTGCAGCTCAAGTATGAGTTACTTTTGTCATCTACCTCTTGTCAGAAGAGTGACGTGTCTAGCCTATCTGAAGACCTCTTAAGCTAAAACATTCAACCAAGATACCTTTTCCATTTGATAAAAGATTGTTCCTATCTAGATCCCCTGATCTTGAAGCTTGTCCTGTCCGCTCATTAACATGATTACTTTAGGGCATTTCTTTTGCCATGGGTTGGATTTGTTGGATGAAGGGTGGAATAATTAACTTGCTGCTCCTAGTCCTTTGATAAGAAAGGCTGTAGCTACATATCCCATGTTAAGCTTGCGATGATTACTTGGATTCAGTGACCCTTTATTATTAATGGATACAGTGGAAGTAAGCCTGACAAACACTGACGTACAATATCAGTCATTGGCAATAATTTTACTGACATAACTCTGATCTCTACTATGGCTACTTTTTTTTAACAAAGTTTGATAGAGAAACATATGTAGGTGATGCCTTTCCCCTTACAGTTTTTTTTTAATCTCTGATTGTGCAGGTACCATGCCAACAGAATGCTCAGCTTTTATGCACCAGGTGATTTCTCGTTAAAATTACAAATGCCAATTTGCGATTAAAATTTACTTTCCTTGTAAATTCCTCTCTATTTGTTTCAATTGGACTTTAGTTCCAAGTCTGTATTTGGGTTCATGTACTTGTCCTCACAAACTTCATATTAAGAAATACCATCTTATCAAGAACACGTGACCAGCTTTTATCATGCCTTACCTTTTAGTTTGTTATAGAGAACCAGAATGATGGCTCGTTATACTCTTCTGACATTGTGTTTGGTGACGGTGCCGTGTTTCAGCTACTAAAAGTTTTGCGTTTCGTTGGATTTGATAATTGAACTACTGTGATCATACATCAACACTTGAAGATACCCACATAGGAAAATAGGAGGAAAGCAAATGTGAAACATCAAATACAGAAATTACCAGGTGGAGTAAAGAGAAGTGATCAATGATTACTATATTTTCAGGTTGGTGTGGTGAAGTTCGTGATGTTATTTATTCCAACAGTGGAACTGTGACCGTGGTCTATCGAGTGATTCTGAAAGGAACGGATGGAGAGGTATATGTTCTCTTCTTTCTTTTTGGCAGAACTAGCATCTATCTGTCCAGCATATATTCTCGATTAATAGCTTTCGAATGTCAACTTTTTGAGTTAACATAGAGTGGAAATTGGTGAGGTAATACATCGACTCATGGAGAGTCGAGTCGAACCCTCTGTACCAATTTTATTTAGTCGATCATCATTATGGACTCATTGAAACAACCTTTCATTTTACTTCTCATTTTCTTGCAATTAAACTCAGCACTCGTAACTGCATGGTATAGGCTTTCAGAGACGCCACAGGCACGGCAAAGGTGCACGAGGGACGTAACGACGACGCTGTTGCGGCTGCGGAGGAGGCAGCATTCAGCAAGGCCTGCGCCCGGTTTGGTTTCGGCCTGTACCTGTACCACCAGGGTGAGATCCCGTAGGAGGAACGGCAACTTTGAGATTCATTCAGCAATGGAGCTGGTCATAACGTGGGTAGGCACGCCCATGGAGAGTTGGAAATGCTTCGCTGGTGCCTAATTCTTGTGCAAGAAGCCTGTAAATTGTTCCTTCTGTTACGTTTTTGTTGTTGTTGTCGGTGTAGGCTCGCAAGATTTATCCAGCTAGAGAAAGGAAAAGAACATATGGAATAATGTGCTGTTACTTCTCTGGTGCATTTTCTGCCTTCATGTAGTTTTTGGAGATTTTTTTTGTTTTCTCTTGCAGCACTTATGATCTTTTGAATAGGCAACACCACATTGACAGAAATTGTTTATTTTTTGTTGCCACCCTTTTTACATATATAAACCATTTTTCCTTTTTGCAAATGATATGATTTTATTGCACAACAAAGATATCTGGTAAAACCAAAAGTTACACAAAGTTCATTTTAAATCTTCATGTTTAGCTTCACATTTTGCATCTTGATCTTCATTTAGGTTCCTTAAAGGATTGAGTATAATCACATGAATCATCTAGAAACTTAGGGCAACTCATACGCTTACCCTCAAATCAGACAGCGCAACATGCCATCCAACTGTAGCAGCAAATGTCTGGTTACATTTCTAATGGAATTTGACAAAGATAAGCAATGCAAATTTAAATAAATTAGAAGAATTTCATTCAAATTTGGATAATTTTTACATAAAATCAGATGATTTTTGACATATATGAATTAAACCCTATTCGAACTTAGTCTAAATGATGGTCGATCGGCCATGAGCCACGGAAAGTGAAACTCCACCTCTGCAAAGCAGGCAAGCGGCTAATCGGCCGACGATGATGAGCCCGCCAAGC